TAGAGTCAACACCACTAAGATAACCCTAGGCATCAACATCTAGGTTACAAAATCTCACCTGGATATGAAATCCCTCTACGTCTCTAGTAGGCAAATGAAATATTTGTTTTCCAAGAGAAAAAAGCTATTGATTGCAGAAGTATAAATTACTGGTCACCAACCTGCAAATTGGACCAAAATGAAGAGAAAAACTTTTACCCTAAATATAATTATGATGTGGTACCTCTCTCTCTCTCTCTCCAAAAAAAAAAAGAAAAAAAAAAAGAAAAAAATTCTAACATAACATGGACTAATTTGGTGGTGAAATTCTCCCCTCCCCTTGTGTTCAATTTTTTGGGCTTTTTTTACCCTGATGCATCAGTGTCCTTAAAATGTTGATTTTTGTCAATTACCACAGTCGACCCTTGTCTACTCCTTCCTGTATACTGTGGTATATGTTGGGAGAATGGTGGCTCATGAAATGTAGGGTCTTGATGTTGATTCCCATATGAAAAAGCATGGTGAACTTTAATACCTAATCCCTTCCTTTTCCTTTTGAAAGAGGAGGGAACACTTCGGGAAGAAAGGAATGGAAGGATATTCAAAAAAAAGGCAAGAACCAAGGAAGCCATCATGTAAAGCATTTAATTTGAGTACTGCATTGGTTGAAAAACACTAGATACTTTTGCCCCTTTTCTCCACAGATGATATGTTAGGGGCTGGTGGTTTGTGGCATCTTCTTGCAGCTCTGGTTCATTACATGTAGTGGAATGAGTTCCACTAAACCATAAGACATGAAACTGAATTTTGGTGGGTGCAGTTTGGGCAATCCCAGTTTGTCAACAGTGCTGTATGGACTCTTCTAAGTGGATTAAGTGTCCGTGTCGAACATGCATTGGAAATAATGTAGACTTGTTAATAGTTTATTAGGGGTGCAATCAAGCCGAACTTTGGCATGTCTTGGCTCGACTCGACTAAAATACTACTAGGTTCAAGTTTGAGCTCGAGTTCGACTCGAACTATATTTTCCTGCTCGAGCTTGATTCGATTAAATATTCAATGAGCTTGAGTTTGGCTTGAAAGCTCAAAAATAAATATATTTATATATTTTAAATATATGATATTTTTTATAATATATAGTGTATTTTTATCTGATATAGAATATAAAAATATATTGCCCTTGTGTTGTAGGGACAAAACATGATGGTAAGTGGCTTGTCAAAGGTAAATTATTATATAGGAAAAAATTTGCGAAAGGTAAATTTTTTAATTAAAAGTTTATTGGAAAAAAGATCTATTTAAAATAAATAAAAATTTATGGATAATAATATATTTAATTTAATAAAATAAAACAATAAATAATCACTGCCATCAGGCAATAGAGTGAAAGAGGGAGAGATGACTTTTGTCATTGTATTTTTGTTTTATATAGTGGAAAACTTGTAAATAGTTAAATAATAATTAATTTAATTTAATAAATAAATAAATTTAGTAAAATAAATGAGATAAATAGACAATCAAGTGGGAGTGTAAATATATATAAATATATACATGATTCCATGTCTTACTTTGCTAGCAATAATTATTTGTTAGATTATTAAATTATTAACTAATTAAATAATTTAGTAAAATAAATAAATAAATCTTTATGTATTATCAACACAAGATTGGTAAAGGCTATCTCAAATTATTTAATTAATTAATTTAGTCCTGTTAGTGGGTCGGGTTGAACTATCGGTCTACCATGCCCATGAACAGGCTTAGCCTGGTTCATGGCCTGGCCTGACCTAAGACTTGGCCCACGACACGGCACGGGCCCATGTGGACTTATGCTAAATAAAAATTTAAGATCTTTTTAAATTTTTAGTTAATTTTTTTTTTTTTTAATTTATGTTAAAAATTTTATTACTTTTTTCAAAATAAAAAAAACATGGCTTAGCCCGGTTCGTGGCCCGACTTGTCCTAAGACTTGGCCCGTGGCACGGCACGGGCCCGTGCAGGTTTGGGCCGTATATTATACAATAGTTATATAATATATAATTTTATTTTCAATTTTATTATATTATTTCATTTTATTGTTGCATATATAAACAATTGTATACTTTAAAGTTCATATAAAATAAAATTTTAACATCTTTTTTAAATTTTTATCTTTTTTTTTTGTTAACTTTTTCATTATTTTTCTCAAAATTTTTAGAAAACATGGATTAGCCCGGTTTGTGGCCTAGCTTGGTCTAAGACTTGGTCCGCAGACCAGCCCTGCTTGTGGCACAACGTAGGCCTGTTTGGGCTCGAGCCGAGTGCTGTGTCGGGCCGACCCCCTAAAGTATCCCAGGGGAGAGAAGCACGGCCCAACACGACGCTATTGTAAATAAAATGAGAGAGAGACAATTTAACAAATATGAAAAAGGTAAAAGTTTAGTGGCATTGTTGTAAATAGTTGGCAGTGGCACCATTGTAAATAATTACATGTTTAGTATCAAATATGAAAAAAGGAGAAAGGACAAGTAATGATTGTTTTTTTGTTTTATTCAATGGCATCATTGTAATTAATTAAATTTGTAATGGTAATGGTTAAAAGCATGAAAAAGTAACGATTATAAGATTTCTTTTAGGTTATATAAAAAAAGATTCCAATTGACAAATGCACAACAATCAACTATGTATATATGTATGCATGAGATAATCAAGCCAAACTTTTTATTGGTCAAGCTCGATTAGAATCGAGCTTGATTCAATTGCAACCCTCTAGGTGAAACACTGAATATCAGACGCATCATGGTGGAAGGGGATTCCAAGGTGGTAGTGGGATGGATGACAACTTGCACTCATCCCTAGTTTTCTTTTTATCAATAACTTGCAGATTTTATTAAAAATAGAGATAAAAACACAGGTACAAGAGTAGGGAGATAAACACTCTTATCTCACCATACAGAACAACAAAACAAGAAGACAGTTACAAGATAGCCCAAAACAAAGAGTCCCTATAAACCCCTTGTTTAGCTAACCGAACGGGAAAGGAGTTAGCACTTCTCTTAACCTAATTTACCTTCACCTCAATGTTTTTTGTTAACCATTTGAATTTCCTCTTCTCATTGTTGTAGTTCCAAAAGTTAGCAGAATCATTTCTCAGCCAGTCCACTACCAATTTAGAATCGCCCTCTATGACTAAATTTGTGATATTCAGATCGATTGCCCTTTGAGTTCCTTCAATAACGGCTGAAATCTCAGCTTTCAGAGAATCACCCAAACCGAGTGGTCCCGAAAATAGAGCAATTATCACTCCTGCCTCATTCCTTAAGACACTCCCAATACCTGAAGGGCCTGGATTACCCATGTTGCTTCCATCAAAATTAAGTTTAACAAACCCTCTAGGAGTAGTCCAAGCAGGAAAGGAAGTGTCTTTGACCAGATCTGAACTTGCAATTTCCTTCCAATTTCTGAGCAGATCATCCATTGAAAAATCTTTAAAGAGACCCAGAGACTTCTTCAGCCAATGACTGATCTGAATCAGCTCCAGAATATTTGGCAGTCTTCTTTCCCTATCGGAGAAAATTCTCCCGTTTCTTTCTTCCCAGATGGTCCAGCAAACAACAACCCTAAGACATCTCCACATAACTCTTTCTCTTTTTTTTCGACCAACTAAACAAGGAAAGAGCAAAGAGGCTTTGTACATCTGGTGGAGGAGATCAACTGTGACCAAACAAAGATGAACACCATTCCCAAATGTTATTCGTATCAGAGCAGGAAATCAGTAAATGGCAACTGGTCTCACCTTCAGCCTTGCATAGAACACACCAGTGGGGAGATAAACAACTCGTAGGCCTCTTTCTTTGAAGGAGACCGCAAGTGTTAACTCTATACAGGATTGTTTCCCAACAAAAGCTCCCAACCTTCAGAGGAATCGGTTTGCACCAGACTTCCTTAATCAGAAAAGGCTGCCCTAACGGACCTATTGGATGAACTAAGGCTTTGAAATAAGATGCACAAGAAAAAGTTCCAGAGGCTGTTAAAGACCAGACCCTTCTATCTGATTTAGAGGGATCTAAGAAGACACCTAAAATATTGAGAAGAGACAAAGTACTATTCAGTTCTGACTCCCTAACTGCTCTTCTAAGACCCAAGTTCCACCCGAAACCTGAGGAAGCTTGTGAGGGCACCAAGAAACTGGAAATACTCTCAACTATCTTCACCCACAACCTTTCTTTCTCTAGGGGATACCTCCATAACCATTTACCCAACAAAGCCATGTTCCCTAGTTGCAATATAGGAATGCAGTGGAGGAATGCCTATTTCCTCAATTTGCTCTCGACATCATGCACTCATCCCTAGTTGCAATATAGGAATGTAGTGGAGGAGTGGCATGGCTAACAACGTGCACTCATTCCTAGTTGCAATATTGGAATGCAATGGAGATTGGACAACTGGATGGGGAATTGGTAATTAATTATTCTTGGGTACACAGATTCCTAATACTTTGCCTCATTGTGATATAATGGTCAAATAAGGAGCACACAGGGACCAACTATTTTGGGACAGTTGTAAGTTGGATATGTGCAAAAGGGGAAGGTTAAGGTAGCAGTTGCTATCCTCGATCTAGGAGTGCTTAGAACACATGGTATACAGGCATTATTTTTTCTCTACTACTAATACAATTACAATTTCAATTGTTACCCATAAAAAAGTTATGATTTACTTCAATGGGTTAGGAGTGCAAATGGGCTAGCTTTCTTGCCAAACAAGGGGCAGGAAGGCAGCAATTGTTCTGGGCATCTCTGTAACATATTGTTGGTATTGGGACTGATGTCATGGTCATCAAATTAAACTTGTACTGTTTTTCCACATATTATTAATATAGTCGAAGTTTTATTGATAAAAAAAATTTCAAGTTTGATCTTTTACTGTATTTACTATTTAGTATAATCTGCCCCTCTTTGTGTTTCTGTAAGCGTGGAATGTAAAATGCCTTTGAATTAGCTTCTCTTGACATTAACCTCAGCATATACATTCTATTTTTTCAGACAAATATAATTTACTACAGAGGCATCTGGCATGCACTTCGTACTATTAGCCAGGAGGAGGGTGTTTTTGGCTTGTATAAAGGTCTTGGAGCTACATTGTTGGTATACTGCTTCTCTTGTGCTTTTCTTCATAGCATAATCCTTATTTTTCTTATTTAGCTCTGATTTAATTATGACTCTTTGTGATGCAGGGAGTGGGACCCAGCATAGCAATCAGTTTTTCAGTCTATGAGACATTGAGATATTCTTGGCAGTCACAGAGGTGATTATTAAGTCATAATTAAGTTCTACGTATTGAGTGCTCTTATATTCAAAGTTGCATTCATAGTCTCTTACATTGTCTACCAGTCTTATTCTTATTTTATTGTCATCAGGCCCCAAGATTCTGCTATTCTTGTCAGCCTTGCTTGTGGCAGTCTTTCAGGCATTGCATCATCAACAGGTAAGTGGTCTAAAACCTCTTACCCTGATTTTATCTTAAAAAAAATGAGATTGATAAACTGTTTGGTACTGCTGTTGTTGAGGATTGCTATTTTACTGATCAGAAGGGGCAAAATATCATATACTTGGTCATTGTCATTACTTGTTTTTTTTTTTCTTGAAGATTTAAATAGATGCCAACCTGGTCAATTTGCTGTGTTCGTTTAAGTTGGTCGGATTAGTGAAACATATTATTTGTAGCATAATTATGTCTAATTTGTTAGTTCATAAGGCTACTGGTCATTCTTTCTGATTCTCTTGATATTTTGGCCTCTGATGTTTGGGTTCTTATTTTATGTTCTTAGAATTTGACTATGGTTGAATTTAGAGTCTGGATTCTGTATGTTATGCTACCTGAGGATTGTTAATGAGGATTTGTCCTATCACAACTCTGCTCCACATCAAAACTTTCTTTTCATTGATCTTCTTCACTTGTGTGGTCCATGTGTAGTGTACTATTTGCATATGCCATGTTAGGCTTTGCTGATCTAACCTTTGTGTCCCATTATGATTGCTAGGTTCAATTCCAAATCTTAAGTTTTCAGTTAGAATCTAGCATTACTGCATTAGGTAGTTGACTGTTAGATCTGTCAAATTCTAGAAGTTAGAATCTGCAGAATTGTGGTATTATATAAAGATGTGAACTTCTCTTTTTTTTATTGGTGTTGAACTTTTCATTTCTGGAGCTTCATGTTTTCTATTGTTTTTTTTTATATATTCATGCTTTCTATTGTTTGCATGAATTGATTGTGTAATATTCTCTTATGCAGCTAGGAATAGCTCAGTTATATGCCAAATGTGTATTTATGTACTGGGGATTTTTGACTTGGGCATGGCAGGAAGCAACACTAGGGGCAGTTGAGTTTGCTACTCTGGTAAAGGGGCAAGAAGTCCATCTGCTGAGCACCTCAGGCATTTCTTGCATTATGAGTGTCTTTTACCCACCATTAGTTGCCTCATAATGTTGAGTTGCTTCCTGGGGTTCATCGCATTCTTGAGTTAATAGTTTCTGGTTGTAATCTCCGATGTTAACTTTGCAGTTTACACCAATCACCAATTTAACAGTCATGCTAATATGACTAGTGTGGGCACAAACTTCCAACTTAGATGTGTTGTGGTGTACTAATAATTATATGCACATTGCTGCAGCAGTAGCCCTTGATAAATGTATTTTCTAGCCAGCCCTAACGTAGGAATGAATCATTAAGTCCTGCTTCTGAACTCCCCCGCTCCAGTTAAAAAGAGGAACAAAGAAAACTGAGCTACTGAACCAAAGCTGAGAACCTACAAAATTTTATGGCGACTCATTCTTGGCAATGCAATTTGATTTACGGTGTGGGCACAAACTGTGCACTACCAGCACCTTCAAGATTTACATACAATATTCAAACTTTGAAGTGAATCAATAATAACATTTGGTGGTTTACAATTTGTAATGTAACATGTGGATTGTTTTTTCTTTGATTGGTTCTAACATGTGGCTTGTTCGTTCACTTTTTGACACTTGTCTGCTGATAACATGCAGCAACATTCCCTTTGGATCTTGTGAGGCGGCGGATGCAGTTGGAAGGTGCAGCTGGTCGAGCCCGTGTCTATAAGACTGGCCTGTTTGGGACATTCAGGCACATTATCCGGACAGAAGGCCTAAGAGGCCTTTACAGGGGGATTCTGCCAGAGTACTACAAGGTTGTGCCAAGTGTGGGTATTGTCTTCATGACATACGAGACTATGAAGATGCTTTTGTCAGACACTCCCTCCAATGAATAGGTGTTATGTCTTCTGGGGCCTCCTTTTCAGCATGATCTTTGGCCACTATGCCTCGAATGCTCTTCACCATACAGTGGAAACGTCCGACTTTGTTAAAGATAGGTAGGTAGACGAAGAGTTTTTTTGGCGTTCTTTGAGGAATCCCATGGTGGTAAATTTTGTGATTGCTGCCATGAAACCATAATTTCTTGTGTATAGATAAATAGGGAAAACAATTGAATCACATCAAGTGTATCCAGCATATTTAGTTGTTGACACTACTTGGAAACATCAGTATTCATTGATGACCATTTTCATCACAACATTTTTTGGCCCAATTTGTGTTTTCCAATTCCTGGGGAAAGTCTTTTTGCTTCTTATTCCTGAAAGTGGAGCTCACAGTACTGAGATTTATAATAAAGATTGATGTGGTGAGGATATGTTGGCAGAACTGTCTTCTTTTTTCTCTGCTTTGTATCATGTCATAAGGAAAATTTGAGGATTAAGAAGAGCAAGTTTTGTAGGTAAGTTGTTCACAACATTTGAAAGAAAATGGAGATTATAAAAGATGATTTGATGTAAAAACATGGATGATTTGATATAAGGTTCAACTGCTCTGAAGGTCCCCACCCCACTTTCCTGAAAGAAAGGTACTAGTCATCCATTACTGTTGCCAAGGGGTTACTTTAATCTGCTTTGTGAAAAATCTTTTTTATTCATGGTTCCAGAGCCTCTTTAAAAAACTCAAACAGGTGACTGCAAATTGTTGCGCTGTACAATCTCTTTGGAATGCCACTTGCACTTGATGAACAGATGCCACCGTAAATACCTTTTCGAGAAGAATGTACTGAGACAGTTGTTGAGTCAAGTACTGTCTCCTCATCGGTCAGTGGGGTGTTGTCCTGTTACTCCGCAATGTGAATATACAGTGATAATGGCATGTAGTGTCGTGTAATCCATGCAATATGTAAATTGTATGTACAATGGTGGCTTTGTTCTGTGATGTGTAGATCATACAGTGCTGGTATCTTCCGACAGATGTACAAGGATACTTTGAGTGGTAACTGGTAAGAGAAAGGTGAGAATACATCGACTGTTAATGCATAGAGGACTGTTTTTGATGGTACACTACACTGAGACGCTATTTATCCACATTTTGGAGTACTTGGATATGTACGTGGAAGCTGTTTTTTGTGTTTTTTTTTTTGTTTTTTCAATTCTGTAGAAATTCTACCAAGTTTTAATTTTGAGCTGAAAAAAAAAAAAAAAAAAAAACTAAAAGGTAAGCCTTATGGTTCATGTGTATCTAAATTTACATGTAATTCTCAGGAGTATGGTAATCTCCCAAATTGATTCTCTGGATATTTGAATTTTCAAATAAATAGGGAAATTATTGGGAGGTCCGAACTTGCATTGGGAGATAGTTGTAACTTGTAGTTTAATGATTGGTCTGCTGTTTTGGTGAAAATGGTATATTATTAAATTAATACAAAAGTAATAACTTAACTAGTTAAGTTAACATTTGGAAATTTTCTTATAAATTATTAAATAATAAAAATTAAAAATTGATAGGATAAATATGGGTAGACGAGGAGATTCCCCCAATATATTTGATCGTCCCTTTGAGTGAGAGAGAAAGAGAGATTTACAATAAAATCTGTTGGCTTTTGCAAAAAAAAAAAAAAAAGTAATCACGAATTCATGATTAAATGACTAATATGTATAGAATCGGTTTCTGCAAAATCAAGCATCTAAATTGACTTCTCAAGTCGGTGTAGATTGGAAAATATCAATTAATCTTATTCGCATATAGAATGTGTTTTTGCCTAGGATGGGTTGAGGGCAAGAAGGCAAATTCGCTTCTGAGCCGAGGGCTGATTGATGAGTTCGAGGTCCGTTGTAACCGAAGGCTGGTAGGTCAGACCTGTGGAGGGAGAGGAAATGTTAGAGAACCCGGGTATTCCGATGTGGGTATGTTTCCATTCCTTCTGGCCCGCATATTGTTCAAGAGGTCTCAGAGGTTTGACACACGAGAGGGAGAGGCACAGCATCGGCCCTTGACCCTTGAAGGGGGGCTGTGGTGGCCTGATTACCCGCCTTCGTCTTGGGGGTTTTTTCGTTGGTGGCGGTGTCCTTGGTCTCAGCGGTGATCGTGAGACTGTGTTGATTCATCCCCTCGTCGACTAGGGGGTCGGGAAGTCCTCGGTAGCTGATTGGCACGTCGGCTACTGTTGGACTCTGAGGGGTTGGCCCTGTTGGATCCGACTGGGCCGATGGCTAGCAGGTCTGGAGGCACTCGTCTGCCATGGTTCCCCAGGCTTCCAGCGGGGTGGCCACCCTGAGGGCAGCCCTCTATTGGGCACCCCACCTCGTCTAGCCTCTGTCCGAGGTTGTCAAGCCGGTTAAGGACCACTTGGAATTGGTCCATCGTGACAAAGTTCTGAGCATTCCTGGTGTTTCTCGCCATTTCGGCTGAAGTTTAGGTGTTAGTTTTTTAAGACAAGTTTTTAGAGTGTAAGTTCAATTGAGGGAAATCTTAGCAATGTTCCCATAGACGATGCCAATTGTTACTACCTAAGATGGGCTGAGGGCAATAAGGTAAATTGAGGAAAGTCTTAGCGATGTTCCCACCTTCAAGAGGGCACCCCCTATTTATACTTGAGACCGCCTAGAGGTAGGACGCGAACGGCCAAGATGTGATCCGGCCTTAGGGCGTGATCATTTGAGGCTGCCATGTGCGGCCGAGCTATTGGCCTCGTGACGTGCCGGCCTTTGCTCTGCGTGACTCTTTCATTGGATCCTCTCTGCACGCGGCCTTCCACCATGCGCGTGTGTGGTATTGGCCCGAGCCTACAATTGGATGTCAAAGTCAAACAATTTTGGATGTGAAAATTGGATTGGAACTTCTTAATTAGGTGATTGTTAACAAATGTTAGGCTTGAAACTTGGCATCTCCTTTGTCGGTTCACAGGCTTCAATCTTGGTCGTAGACCTTTATACTCCTCAACAGCCTATTGATCTCGAAATTTGTCACTGAGCAATTATTCATGTGAACATGTTGTATTGGGTCCAACTAGCACTGATGCTTTCTGAAAACCTCTTGTTTTTCCAATCTGACAGTTTCTACGGCATCTCCATTCAGGGGCGGAGCCAAGTTATTGGGTGGGGCCGTGGGGGTCCCCAGAACTTTTTCCATCCCTATAGCTATATCTAGGGGTAGCCCATCCCCTGTACGCACAGCCAGATTGGCTTAATGGCCTAATACTGCCCCCGCCCACCAAGTTTTTTCAGAGAAAATGTTATTGGGTGGGCAGAGTCACATTAATAATTATTTATTTTAATCATCACCCAATTTGATTTCTTAAAATCCCAATTCTAATTTTAACATAATTCTTTAATTTTTTTCTGTCAATCCAATTGATTTTGAATTGAATTTTCAGATTGGGTTTGAATTGGAATGACTTATTTATTTTATTTTATAGGATTGAATTAGACAATGCCTTGAAACTAATAGGGTTCATATTTTTTACGTTTAATAAAAGGTTGAAATCAAACTTTTTGTTGGATGTTAGATGGAGAATACATCTCATAGGTGCACTGTAGAAAATTTTGCCTAATCTCCATTCGAGAAGGCCATCTAAATACCTGGTATCTCCAATGACGTGCTGCAAACAATTAAACATTGGATGAAGTCCACATTACACGCCCATAGCTCACCAATCTTCTAGGAATCAGAACATGCTCTCTGAATCATCTCTCTAGGTGACCACTTCCATTTTATTTAAAGAGAATTATCAAGTTTGCATCTCTTTAACATGCTATAGTTATAATGATCCTCTTGTATATTTTTTTTATGTCATCCTTTGAGTACATTGTTAGTATAGGGGTATTTCTATCTTTATATTTATATTGAGGTTGCTGATCTATAATATTATATTAGAATTAGTGTCCCTCACTTAAGTAAGGGCACATGTGTCTTTTTCATTATGTTAGTAATATAAAACATGTTTGGCTGAATGGGAGAGATAATTTTTCTCTCATTCAAACTGGACTTTTCTTCTCTCATTTTCTCATCTTTTCTCTCTCTCTCTTTCTTTCTTCTTTCTTCTTCTCTCTTCTTGGCTGTTATCAAACTAACAGAACTCAAGGGCAGGCCGAATCAAAATATGGTATCAGAGCACAACTAAGCAATTCGGATCTGCCCAGATTTCTGTTTCTGCGCACTCAATCTAGGGTTTTCTCTTGATTTCTCTACCATCGATTGGAGATAAAGGAAAGTGTTGAAAAGGAGTGGTCGCCCTCTTCCCTTGGAAGTCTCTATGCCTCAAGTTGTGTTGTTTATGGTCGATTATTGTGGTTTCTAAGAAGCCCTCCCCTAATCGATAAAGAGAAGAGGGTTGATTCGTGTGGTGCAGTGGATGTCTTGTGTGGTCTGATTTTCTTTTTGTGTGGTTTGTTTTTCAAGTGATAAGGTAAGAGATTTCTATGCATATTTTTGTTATGAATCAAATAGGAAGTATGTTTTAGATTGTATGGTGGGATTTCGGACTGTAGTGTACTAGGGTTTATGCTATTTTTTTGTGTGATTCAAAGGGGGAGTGGTCCTCATATACTGTGGTGAGATTTTAGGTAGTCGTGGGGTAGGGTTTGTGGTGTAAAGAGTGCAATATTCAGCAATAACAAGTGCTGAAACTAGTGTAATTAGTGTGATCAAGTAGTGTGTAGTGTGTCGAATTCAGTAATAACAGAATTCAGCAATGAGAGATAGCAGTGATAGCAAATCTAATGTGATGATACCTATTGACTACCTGAATGTTCAAATGACCTCCATTAAACTGAATGGAGAGAATTATATACCTTGGGCTAAATTTGTAGAAGTTTTTCTAAAGGCAAAGAAGAAGGTGAAACACATAAGGGAGGATAAACCCTCCACTGATTCTCATGAGTATGATGACTGGGAACAAGAGGATGCACAGATTATCACGTGGTTATGGAATATTATGGAACCCATGATTAGTGTAAATTTCATGTTTATTGACACTACCAAAGATGTGTGGGACCATGCTAAGAAGTTGTATTCTGGTCAAGACAATACAACCAGAGTATATCAGTTGTATCAGGAATACTTTAATTTACAACAAGGCAATCAAAGTCTTGAGGAGTAATATGCTAGTATGAGAAACATTCGTAATGAGTTGAATGTTTATCACCCCCTCACTTATGATGTCAAATTTCAGCAACAACAAAGAGAACAACTTGATGTGACTCGATTTTTGGTGGGACTGAAATCTGAGTATGAACCAATGCGGGCTCAGATACTAGGAGGGTCAGCTCTCCCTTCCTTAGAAGAGGTGTTTGCTCGATTTCGGAGGACTTCCATTGAATCTACTGAATACTCTAATGTTTCTGATAGATCAACATTTGCAGTATCGAGGGGCCGGGGTGTTAGAGGTGGAGCTTAGGGAGCTCAGTCTGGTCGTGGTGGTAGCAGTGGTCCGGTATATGGCCGGAGTGGTGGTGGTGGACCT